AACAAAGAAGAAAGATTGGAGGCACGGCATATACGCCTTGATGTAAAATAAAATAAATAAAATACACAAAGTTTAAATAAAGTAATCAGCAAACACTGTGGAACCAAATAAATAAGAAACGAATGTTTAAAAAAACTTCCAGTCAATAGGCTTTTCAAAATCTAAAATATTGCCAAACAGGCGCCTTTGCGTTTCCTTTCTAAACAATCTTCTGCCATCATCTTGTCATTCTCACCTCACTCTTGTCAGTCAGCTCGACTCACACTCACGTGATAAATAAAATCTGACTCCTGCTCCGTGGTGCACTGTCGTTCGCGCACGGTTCGATCACCGTTGGGGTGGGGGTGTTAGTTCGTTGGAGTTTCCCTCTTTTCTTTTGCCGCAATTTGGCATCAAGCAATTGCTCGTTTGAGTTTTCCCTCTTTTCCTCAGATTTCTTGGCTTTCAAATAGCTTGAAAAAGTATCGGCAAGACATATCGGCATAATTTTTCATATTGGGCCGATGCCGATATTTACATTTAAAGCCATTATCGGCCGATTCCAATATCAGTCCGATAATATCGTGCATCCCTATTGTTTAATATTTTTGACTGGGAACACCACAAATGTAACAAAGCAGGAGGAAAGTCCCCCAAAACGTACAAAAATGATCAGTTTTGTTTAGGAAGTTGTTATACCCCATGTGAGCAAAGTCAGTACGTTTAGATCCAATGAGAGCAAGTAGCCTTTTTCAAAAAAATAAAAAAAATTAATAATACTCTTTGGGGCAAAATGACCCAAAAATGACACAACATGAGGGATAATTATTTAATAATTTTATAACGTAACTGTAAATATAACTTACATTCTTAATTATATTTCAAGATGATAATTTTCAGGACTAAAGCAACTTAGGTTTACTTGTTTATCCATTCTTTTTTTTTTTAATCAGGCTTTTGAGGAGCATTTATTTGTACATCTTTTAATCATCCTGTATTGCACTGCATTATATACAATTTGTCTCCCAGAACCTTAATCATAAAACTAAGCATTTCAATATCATCTTACTAAGACATTTTTAGGAAATATAGAGTGACAACTTATATTAATAAGTAGTGTGCTTATAAAGATTGTTGTGCTTATAAAGAATTTAAACTTACTTTTTGGCCATCTTACTTCTTACCATATAAATAACAACTACACAAATTGCATAGTGTTGCTCAGTTTGGGCATCTGAATAAAACTGAGGTGTTTATTTCTTCCTTAAGTGTGAGCTCCAAATTCCCACGATACGATGGGCCATAAAAGCCTGATGCATCAAATATGATTAAAAATATTATTTAAAAACATTTTTTATCTAAGGTTCACTAAACTGTTCTGTTGAAAAACAAAATAGATTTTTCTGATTATTATTTCATATGGCTTTACAGGGTTAAGCATTTTCCTCAGGCATGATAATACTTTCAAATCCACAATATCCATTTTACAAGACTAAAATGGTTTGAAACTGTTAAATGTATTTGAATGCCTTTTCACATGAAATGCAGCATATTCAGATGTTAAACAAACGAGTTGCTTTTGAATACTGTTTCTCACATTTTCATTTAAAACCCACCAGAATGTGAGAGAGACAATATGTATGAAAATGAGTTTTGGATCCTAGCTAACTCTCTCTCTTTAAAAAAATAAAAAATTGTCCTGTACGCAGAGGAACTTTCCCAACTGATGAGAGGCTTATCCTGTTTTGGGTGCGATATACGTGCATTGTGGCTTTTTGAAGGTCCCTGTTTTTTTGATGCGGAGCTGTTTAATACGTTCCTGACACAGTTGGCATGGTTACCAGTGGAGGAAAAACAGCGACTTAAACCTTGTGACTGAATCTCCCTGAACCTGAGATAATCTTCGGCCAATCTCTGTATTAACACCCAACTTCTACTCGATCTGCCTTCATGCCCCCATGCCAGCCTCCCCGCACACGCTCGCTTCCCAGCGCCTCACAAAGGCTTTTGTATCGGGATAAATGGTGTAAAACTGGCGCCCATGAAATAATTTCCCACCAAAGCCCTTTTATTGCCAGACATGTGGCATTTGTCTTTTTAATTAAAAAAAAAAGAAAATATCATGCATTTTGTGTTGACTGTCGAGAACGTGCCGTGGTTGTTCGGCATGATGCGAATGATGAAAATATAGATGAGGGGTTTAGCGTTCTTCCGCAGCCAGCTTACTGGCCCAGAAACGGTACCTAGAGCGAGTATGCGAGCCAAAGCCTTTAACAACCCCCTGCCATGATTAAAACACTATATTAAAATGACATGGGTGGTGGAAACGCATTCTTGCCCTCAGCTCCTGAACCAAAGTCTGCGTTATTTATTACCGTGGCCTCTATTGACCGGGTTACATTAGCCATTTTCATTTCTGTATATATACGATGATTGCTTCAGGCTGACAGACAGTTTAAATGATCTCACTTTCAAAGTGCAACAGCTAAGTGTGTTTGGGCATATTCACAGTCACATTTAAAGAGAATGTGCATGATTTATATCGTCTTCAAATAAATCTATTTATATCCAAAGTAGTTTGTAAGTTGGCACTTACATACTCAGTCCTGATGCTTGCTGTAGTTTGGATTTTAAATGGCGGGAGCCTGATAACTCGTAACCCGGACGACTCCATCAGCTGTGTCAAGACGAGATAAACAACATTTCCCTTGTGGATAATGTAGGCTACTGTTGCATACTGTGTCTGGATTGTGCTTCGCTTTCTTCATTTGGTGACAAAGAGCACAACCAACAATTGTTTCAGGCCTGGACGATATTTAGAAAAATACCGGAAGCGAATACTTGTCAACAACATCGCTACTGAATCTGCAGCGCGATCAGCGTAGTGCGATTCGCGAACGAATGAGTCTTACGAGCTATAGTTCCTTTGGCTTTTAGTGAATAAAAAAAAAAACGAATAATATGGATTGTACTTTTAAGTGAATCAGAAACAATGTAGTGCGTTCCG